GTCAAAGCAGGAGACCCTACACCAGTGAGGGCTAACCTTTTGCCAAAAGCATGCGCATGTGTGACTATGCACCCACACTCCTAATGCAATGGGTGCATGACCCGCCCCCTGCGCATGTATGTGCGACCCACACACACACTCCCTCCACCTCCCCGCGCATGTGTCTGTGACCCACCTGCGCCGCATTTTGAGCCTAGTAGGCCTCCCTGCAGCCTCCTGGAAGCAAAAACAGGCTGCGGGGGAGTGCCCTAGTAGGCCTCCCCTCCGCACTCCTTCCCTGCATGTGTCCACCCACCCCCGCCCCCTGAGCATGTGTACACGAACCCCCTGCCACCACCCCATGCATGCATGTGCATCCCCCTGCGCATGCGTGAGAGACCCAAAAATCAGCTGGCTGACAGGAGGCGCACATGCACAGCGGAACTGAGCTGGGGCAACAGTTCGCGTGCCCACAGAAAGGGCTCTGAGTTCCACCTGTGCCATCCCTGCCCTACACCATTTCAGACAAGTGGCTGTCCAGTTTCAAAAGCCTCCAGTGATGAAGCACCCACAACTTCTGAAGGCAAACTAATTCCACTGGTTAATTGTCCTCATTGTTAGAAAGTTCTAGGTTGCTTGGTTACTTGGCCTAAGGAGGGTTCTCCTCTAAGACTGGAAACAGGATTCTCAGTTCTCTTCTTCTGTAGTGGTGCACATGTGATGCTCTGCCACTATGTGTCAGCCTGAGAAAATTACCGCCAAAAGAAAGAAAGTATCTTGGAGGAATGTGAAATATTCCAGGCAGGAGGAGCTCTGGATCGAGATCAACTGACCACTTTGTTTCCACTTGACACATCAGGCCACAACATCACTCAATGTGTCCCATGAAATGTTTATGGGAAAGCAAACACCCCAATTGGCACCTCGTTTCCTTTCCCTTTCATGACACTTTTAACAGGCTGCAAAACGTTCCCTCACGGAATACTCCAAGCCGGGAACAGGCCATTCCAAGGCTTCTGGAACACTCAGAAGGGCAACCTGTTCCAAGGTCAGAATGTTCCATGACGGAATGTTTTGAACATTCCTAGGGTCTCTTCTCCGGGCATTGGTCCTATCAGTCCATCTTAGCTCCAGCAAGGACGTTGCTGCAGTTGTCTCCAGGCACAGCATTTGTGCTACTACACGCCCTCTTCACAACCTGTTTTCCTTCTTAACCTTCTGGGAGGAGGAGGAGGCTTTGTGGCATCCGAAGCAGAATATCCAGATTCAATCACTGTTTTGTTCCCCTACAGCATCAACTTCGTGAACTCTCAAGTTTCCTCTTTCTGCTACATTTTCAAAATACTGATTAATCTATATATGTATGGCTGTGTGTATATGTATATGTGAGTGTGTGTGTGTGTGTGTGTATGTTTTCATAGATTTTCACGAGTGTAGGTATGCTGATCTTGTTATATTTGGGTCTTTTCCCATGTAATCTTACACGGGAAAAGAACCAAATACAACAAGACTCTGTGTGTGGTGTGTGTGTGTGTGTGTGTGTGTGTGTGTGTGTGTACACATACACAATCACATACTTAAATACATACATTCTTTATAAATACCATGTTTCCCCGAAAATAAGACAGGGTCTTATTGTCTTTTGACCCCTGAAATAAGCACTTGACCTTATTTCATGGAGCTCTTATTATTTTTGAGGTGCAGGAGGCGGCGAGCGTAGTCACCTCATGGCTACTGCTTGTTGCAATATTTTTGGGGAGGGCTTATTTTCAGGGGAGGGCTTATTTT